CTTAAGTGGTTCTTTATCTAGGCATGCGCAAGTGCCATCTCCCCGGGGTATTGCATCTTAGAGAATAGAAAAGGATAGTCGCAAACAAGATAAAAATATACACACAAATTTCATTTAAAAAAGAAACACATAAGTAGTTTGAGTTTTTTTTTCCTGATCTCCATGTCAGAGTATGAAAAGAAAGTGATTTGGTACGTTTCCAAATATGATCTTTTTTTTAAATGTAGTATACCTTTTTGTTATATTTATTAGGCTATAATAATTTTTCTTTTGTTGTAACGGACGGGTATGTTTGCTAATCACTGTAAGGGAGGCCATTCCTCTCTGTCCGAAGAAGGGTAAGGTGGAAAGACTCGGATTGTAGGCATGCATGAGTCGGGCTGATACACGTGCACAACATTATTAATACCAGACTATTTATTCACATTCCTGTTAATTAATTGATTATTATTAAGGAAACCCGAAGGTTTGCCCAACCGCGGTGAAATCTAGCTAAATCCATGTGGATCTTCAGTTCTACCAGCCACAAGGGAATCTCGGTACTGATATCTATCAGGAACAAAGAATCCCATTAACGCCCATGATATGCTTTGATCGACAGATGCCAAATACATGAATCGACCGGCAATAGGATAGCCCCATCCCATGCGACTTGCTGGCTTGCAGCACATTATTATTCTCCAATCTCCATGGCCAGCCCCAAGTCCGAAAGGGTAGTTTTCAGCTTAAACAGAGCTCCCACTACTAACCAGTAGCCATCATATCGCATAGCATCGGATATATGTTGTAAACAACCAACCAGGACCACATTACTTTCTTGTTCATCAATGACAACATTGTCCATCAACCAAGTCCTGCATGAGCAATATTCTTATTTTCTGAACTGGAAACATGGGAATTGAAAAATGCTGGCATCGAAATAACAAGTTGTCAGATCATTCTCTACCATGTGCTAGGATGCTTGCCAACCAATGATGTGAGGATTCCCAAATTGACGAGGAGGAGAAATCCGAACGGAATTCTGTTTTGCCGTTCTGAGTTTTGACAGAGAAATAGGCTTATGCGCAGTTGTTTCCGTCAGCACAGTCAAAGATTCAGATAATGCAGGCTGCAGCAAGGGAAAGGAGGCGCACTTAGGAGTTATTAGGACCACATTATTTTCTTGTTCATCAATGACAACATTGTCCATCAACCAAGTCCTGCATGAGCAATATTTTTATTTTCTGAACTGGAAACATGGGAATTGAAAAATGCTGGCATCGAAATAACAAGTTGTCAGATCATTCTCTACCATGTGCTAGGATGCTTGCCAACCAATGATGTGAGAATTCCCAAATAGACGAGGAGGAGAAATCCGAACGGAATTCTGTTTTGCCGTTCTGAGTTTTGACAGAGAAATAGGCTTATGCGCAGTTGTTTCCGTCAGCACAGTCAAAGATTCAGATAATGCAGGCTGCAGCAAGGGAAAGGAGGCGCACTTAGGAGTTATTAGGACCAAGTAAGGTCACCCACAGATGAGTGATGCCTTCGGCAAATTCCTCAATTTTGTTCACGACATAACGAACAATCTCATTTCACTCACGCATCTATGCAGCAGAATATGGAACACACCCTTGCCATTTGTCAACTTTCCGACCGCGATTGCTATGGTGAAAGCGTAGGGAAGGTGTTCCTATCTTCCCATGACACCATATAGGCTATAATCAGCACATTTAGTAGTTTTCCTGTTCCTCTGACAAAATACAATAAAAATAGTATTAGAAAAATCTACCTATGAACTGGTCGTCCATGGTTTTACTGACAAATTTGAAATAAAAATTTTCAAGTCACCTGTATGAAATTCTGCAAAAAGAATCAGGAATGGCCAAATTTCATTAACTCCTCAAATTCTTTGCCATTATTATATATACGTGGAATTGCTTTTGTAGACGGAATACTCTGAAATCTAGACACGAACTATCAGCGTATTTGCGATTCAAGCCTGATAAACTTTAGCTGTTTGAGCGGATTGCATAGTGACATTTATTACAATGTTTTCCTGACTACTAAATGCTGATTGATGTAAAATATATCCGATTTAAACTAGTTAATTTCTCAATTAACATTACTTTAGGTACTTTGCTTTCAGATTTTTACATACCATTGTTTTAAGAAAAATAGTTAGTAAATTAGGTTTATGGGTTTAAGGGTGTAGTGATAATTGTCTCTAATTTATCCTCTTCACAATCTCACGGAGCTATGTTTGCGGTGGAGAATGAGCTGTGGAATCTTTCGGACCAAAACTGCTCAGAGGAGGAGGCATTCAGATCATTACATATCTGTGTAGCATGTTTTCTCCAAAGAAACGTAGAGGTTTCATTCTGAATTGCAGCACCAGCACTGACCATTCAAACCATTGCATAGCGATCAAGAATTACTGACACCACATCCAATGGTCGCACGGAGCGCTCGGTGACGGTGCAGCCAATGCATTGGAGACCTCATATATTGCCGAGTATTCGTCATGGCTCATGTCTCAAGTGAGGAAACTGTGCTTCTTGCTCTGCACTTCCACGGAGCTGTTCGCCAAGACCACGTACTCCCTAGTGTTGGAAGTACTTCTGCGCGGCGAGCTCGATGAGCTCCATGTTGCCGCCGTGCTTTCTGGCGCCCCATACCAGGGAGTGCTCTTGGCAGATCAGTCGGTTCTTGACGAGCTCGTAGCGTCAAGTATATATAGTAGGCCGAACCTGCCAAGCTTGTCGATCAACCCTGGTGTAGTCCAGCGCCTTGGGGTGAGGCCATAGCCGGACAACACGGAGGAGAAGGGCTTTAGAGCATGTCCAATAGTTTTTAAAAAATCACTTGGTAAACTAATGAGTTTTTCGAGTGACTAAAAAAAGTTGGGAGCATATTTGTTAGCTTTCTCTAATAGTTTTTAAAATCTCGCCAAGAAGATAATTTGACATCAGGAATCCCGAACTATTTCTAAATCACACCAATCACTTTTATACTTTCTTTTTCTATTGTACATTTATATCAGGAACCCTGTCCTACTTCTTATTTTTTTCCACATCCTTGCACCTTAAATTGGCGCCATGGATATGCACGCTATTTATCCACACAATGGGGTCGATTTTTCTAAGTGTCAAAAGATAAGGAGGTGGGGTTGAGAGTTGTCGGAGATATTTTTTTTTTCAATCTTATCAAAAATCATGGATTGAGAGATTGTTTTGCGAACTATTGGAGATGCTCTTAGCCCCTCGTTGACAACTAAATTCGACCTAGATGGATGGGAAATCCGAGTTTTGCCCTTGAATAAAGATATTGAAATTACCGATTTACCCTTATCCGAAAAAATGAATAGAGCAAAATCAGGAACTAGTCCACCTATTTTAGTACTAGCACCATTTATTTTGGTATCGTTCCCACCTTTTTGTTACTTACGAGTACTTTCACATGGGTACATTTTTTTACCGTCGGATCTCATCATGGACGGCCTATACTTTTTCCAGTGTAAAATTTGTCTTAATATTATACATGTGAGTTCCATTATCCTGGAGACATAAATGAATAAACACCAAATATTTTTCCCTTGAAATATGTAGGGATATATTTTTTCTGCAAGATACATTTAGCTTACTCAGAACAAGAATATGTTTTCAAGTTTTGCATAGGTGCATTACTTCTATATTGCAATGAATCAAGAGGCAAAAGCGGGGAAGAACCGAAGCAAAAATACTAAGGGCAAGAGAGCTCGATCTCCTTTGCATCCTCATTTTGAATATTTGTCAGAGCCCTAACGGTGTCGGTATAACCATTTGAGTGTTCGGGCTGAGATAATTGGTGCTTTCTCTTTTTATGTAAACATAGTATTATCATTCTAGAATTAGTGAATGAATCAGAATATTTTTAGAAATAAGAAAAATTATTTGAGACTCTAACAACCACACCCATGTTCCGCGAAAATCTCCATATGGGATATTATGATATAACTTGTTGCAAATATAAGGGTGTCTTCACAAGATTCATTGGGCTACATGATTTCAGAGAAATATTCAATTGTTGTAGGAGTTTTGTAGCATAAAAAACTTCATCGAAAAATGATGTAACAAAGTACGTATAGGTGGAAAATAATTCACAACACTCATCAAGATTATTACGGCATACATTCTCAGCAATTAGCAATGTAAATGCAGCAGAAAACTCTCGGAAAATGCCTAGGTGGTCCTTGTTACATTTTGCTAACAACCAACAAAATTAATCTCTTTAATTATGTTCATAGTCATAATCCAAAAAAAATGTAAAAGAATCCCTGTTTTCCATGGTTATTAAACTGCCACTAATTACTCAGCCAACAACCACGTTTCTGTTTTAATTACTCAAGAAATGCCTCAAACATGCAAATAGGAGTCAAATGCAATTGTTTTATTTAATCCCACTCGTCAGGGTTCAAACTCAAGACCTCTAGTGAGTACTACACATATTGAGTTGCATGCAACGGCGAATTCAACTTAAAGCTGAAGATGCTTGGGAAATGTGAGCAATTCACTTCTACTTCAACATGGATGTATTTTTGTTTAAAAAATATGGATGTATTATTGGGCATTCATCAAGTCATGAAAACTAAAGATTGTCACCTTTTTTTGACAGTTGGCATCCACCAAAACTGAATTTCGTAATTTACATCTAAATTTTCAGTAAGTTTCACAGGCAAATAAAAGAGAGCCAATATATATGTTTATTGCCAAGGTGTGACAAAAATATCACAGCACATCAGTACACTCAGTAATAACCTCTCTTGTCATGCCATTATTAGAAGGCGAACATCATACCCTCAGGGAGGTACGCTCTATATATGAGAGCCTACATGCGCAAGAAATATACAACATCTTATTTCTAGCTTTTGTGCTGTAGGTACTGTATGATGACGATACGACCATACGTAGGTAAGCACACATACGTAACTAGTAGGCTCAAGCTTGCCGGCCTTCACCTTGAATGAAGGGTAGGTAAATTACTCAAGTGAACCGTCTCCCACCTGTGCCCGTTTGACGCTGGCAGTTGAAGTACATCGCGGCCACAGGCTTGCCGAGGTTGAAACGGCGTGCAAAATTGCGCAAGTTGAAGTTCTGACGTACTTGCGGTGCAAACACCGTGCCCCGCCCCAGTTGCTGGTAGAGCACCAAGACAATACGGTGGATGCCCATGGTGGGGCTTGGGTTCTCATATGGTATGACCTCTCGGCCTGCCATTTAATTCAAAAAAAATCATGAGAAACACAATCTTGATAGTTATATTCTTGCATATATAAATAGAGAGAGAGAGAGAGAGAGAGAGAGAGAGAGAGTATTCTTGCAAAGGCTCCACTCAAGTCATATGTAGGACAAGTGTGACAAAGGAGAATATAAATTAAAGAAAATACATACTCTTCTGACATTTTTAGGAAAGTTCAATTTACTAATAAAAAACTAGAGCTGGCTATAATGCCAAAACACAGAATAAATGTTTTGTAAGATAGGATATAAAACATCTAGTTCCTTTGCAATAATATTTCCATTTAATTGATACAGTGTATATTATTATTTATGTGATAGAACTATGGATAAAAAATATTACATTGCATATATATGTTGAAGCATATACAATTACATAACATTATAAAATACTTATATATGTCCCCAATATCTTTACTCTTTTCACATATATATCTAAGCACGGTGGCAGAGTCAGAAATGTGAATTGGCCAGCAGGACAAATTTTATCAAAATTCAATCAAGTTTAAAAAAAATTGAATGGAAATTACACTGACTTAGGGGAGAGGGTTTGGCACCCCCTCCCTCCGCCACGGACTAAGCACATGTAGCCTATTTTATTTTAATCATAAAAATATGTTGCATCTAGATGAATAATGTTCTTGCAAAGGGATGTAATAAAGTCACATAATAGACAAATATGATAACAAAGTAAAAAAATATACCCTTATAAATTTCTATATATGAATGTAAAAGTTCACTAACAAAAGACTAGATACGGATCGGACATAAATGTGATATAAGTTAATCAAATTGCAAATTCCGATCCTTTGCAATATTTTCACTTAATTGATACAAATATGTACTATATGATTATATGATTGAATTGCCAATAACAAAAATCTTACATTACATATATATATATATATATATATATATATATATATATATATATATATATATGTTGAAGTATATACACTAGCTTATAAGTGTTCACTTCATTTAATAATATTTTTCTATATAAATCAGGAAGATGCAAACATATATATGACTAAATCTAATTAAATTACTTTTATTGACCAGATTCTCGAACCGATAGAAAACATGAACATTGCATTACACTAAACTATCAAAAAAGGAATTCTTTTGTTTAGGTTTTAAGAGAAGGGGACTACATATTTTGCAGAGTCATATAGAAGATATGCACTACATATGTACTAATATATTAATAACGAAAAATTTACCAAAAAAATACTAATAATGACAAGAGTTTGCACTGGCACATTAGCATTACGTTCTACAAATATTTCTTAATATATATGAACCTTTAAGGAAAAGACTAAGGGCCTCTTTGGCACATCCTCATGAGGATTGGGCTTCTCTGCCTTTTTGGCACTATAGCACGTGCTTCTAGAAGCCAGTGAAGTAAAAAAAATATGGCTTCACTGGCTCCATGTTGTTTTTTAGGCTGCTATGAATGATATCGACTCTATGCTACAGTAGTCGTGCAATGGAGTGTCTAGTGGAGCCAAAGCAGGAGAGCCCCCCGAAAGGGGCCGGTCCTAAGGTGAGATTTTGAAAAAGAGGGATATTATAATGCATATATATACAATGCATGTTGTTGATGCTCACCAAAGCTATCATCCGTTGATGCTGGGATGTCAGTCACCATCCTATCAAAAGATAAGGCAGTGGGATTCATTTTCAGTTACGCAGAACTGTATATGTAGTTTGATCAAATAGTATTATGTGCAAGAACAAGAACTTACCAATGCAAGTATTCCCGTAGGGTAGGGTTGCTGGGATTAGGCGCATCAGGATCCACCATAACCTAATATATTTACATTAACACAAGCACATGGTCAACATGTTAGGGAATTAAAAATAAACCTGAGCATTTTTGGGCTGGGCTGTGATGAGAAATCCTGCATTTTTTTTTGTTAGTGTCTCTCTCACTGTAAATACTATTTATTAGGGCCAATCTATCTAGTCAACCGAGCTGGGCATGCACCAGGAGACTGTTTTAGCCTTCACAACGAGCCAAGCCATCGATTTCAAACTTCGGCAAGAGTTTGGAATGTGGCTCCTGAGCATCATTTGGTGTAGTCCCCTGGACTAAGAAAAGGAGTCGACACCTTGGCCATATATATATGGCCTACCGTCAAATGGACTCGATCGGATCTGCGGAGTGATGGCTTACTAGGGTATAGGCCACTCGAAAATCATCACCTCAATCTCAACTCTAGGTTTCACCGACACCGCCGACGCCCGAAACTCCATCCCATCAAACACTGGTCTGCCATCATACATGACAGTTAGAGGCACTGAGCCAGTAAACGGGTCTAAGACATCCCCGATTATGTGTCCCCTCGTCAGGGAGTCATTAGCCATATGCTATATTTTAGTGTGAGAGTATATGGTAGTAGCTAAGACCTACGAAAGCTATCAGGCCTTCCAATGGGCTTGAGTAAATCACAAGGTCTTTGGGCTATTTATAGTGTCCTAGAAGATGCTCAAGAAGCTGTGCATACATGTGATTCTCGTTTTCAACACAGCTTCAGCACATTCTTATCTGCCCACTTTCCAAATGATGCTCAGATGTAGCAAATATATATTTTATGTGGTCATATATCCTAATAAAATTAACCTAGTTAATGTAGAGAATTAATAGATTCTTCCACAGTACGGCATGTGCACATGAGCACATCTATTTAAGTGCCACATGCATGGCGTATATCTGCCCATTTGGGGCTCCAATACTTGCCTACTCTCTCCTTCCCTAAAAAGAGTCGTTGTGGAATCGTGCCGGTCAAACTTTTTCAAACTTAACTAGGTTTGTAGAAAATGCGTGCAATATTTATATCTCCAAATAAATTTATTATGAAAGTATATTCAATAATCTACCTAATGGCACTAATTATGTATCATAAATATTAATATTTTGTTAAATATATGTGGTCAAAGTTAAAAGTTGTTGGCTTTTTGGGAAGTGAGAATGACTCTTTTTTAAGGACAGATGGAGTATATATGTCCTTGGAATAGTCATTTAACTTGTCTTAAGAGAACTGCTGAAAACATGTGTCGAGAAAGAATAATGTAGAAGGGGGTCGAGGCTGAAGTAGATCGATGTATTACGTTTGAACATATATATGGTTCTTTTATAACAATCCTAAAGGAGAAAAAATGGAGGAATTCTAGAGAATCGAAATCCTATAGGAAATTTTCCTATGAACCCTTTTGGAGCAAAAGATTGGATTGCTACAAATTGTAAGAATTTCCTTTGGAATGACACTTGTTTTATAGTAATTTTGGAGGAATTTTACCAATAGGTTGAACCGTATGGAAAGCTTCCTTTGTGTCATTCTCTCTTATTGAGAGTGGATGTTTTATTCAAGTTTTATTTCATTTTATATGACAAACAACGTCATGAAACTTCTCACTGAGACGGATCTTAGTGCGGATGTGATGCACACACGCTAAAATATGAAAGCAGCTATTTGGATCAAAATTTCACCATGCATGCACTCCGCAGACTAGCTTCGGCACTAATTTCTCTTGCTCGAGAGATGGTAATCAGAAAAATAAGATTTTACATACACCAAAGGCCCTGTTAAATTTGGCTAGAAAAACGGCTGATGTTGATGCTGATTTGTTATGAGAGAAAAACATTATTATTTCACTAAAACGGTACGGCTGATAAGTTCAAGCGAACAGGGCCAAAATATTCTTGTGCAAGTCAGTCAATATCTAGCACAACGTAAATATTATGCTTTGCATAGGCTACATACTTCTATTTTCTTCAATTGCCAAAATTCTAATAAAGTATTGCTTTATTTTGTTTTATGCCTTTCCTGTGAAGTTGAAAATGACATGACCTCACTAAAACAGAACCGATGCAGTTCGATGCATCATTGACTCTTTTGCTCACGTTTTGTATTTCGTCTGGACACTGGCCGTTGTTGCTAAAGCTCAGTCTTGAGTACCCCGGCCCACAGCTTTACAGATCATCCATAGTGCAAGTGCGCCCCGGCCCACAGCTAGATCTAGAGATCTCTTCATATCTTACTGTGCCCAGCCTTCTGCATAGCATTGCATTCCCATGTTCTCATTCCACCAACTAATTCCACTCCCTTAGGTCCTGCTGCATACCTTATTAGGTGTTGTTTGGTTCAATCATTTGTGGACGTGAATCGTGAGCTGACGGCGATACTTTATGTTTGTTTCACCACCAATAGGATCCGGCAGCAGGGTTATCAACCCATGCTTCAGTACGTGGATTACGTCCGAATTGATCGGCAAACCATTCCACTCCAGCCCATCCTATTACCACGGCCGAACCAAACAAAACATGTAATCAACAATTCTCTTATCATTCCAGTGGCGGCGGAAATTTTCCATTTGCGTTGACATTACTTTATGCAACCAAAAAGTACCTAAAAGAGAGAGACAGAGAAAACAGGCATAAATAATTTTCCATTGCCTTGCTGCCTAATACGAACGTCATGTACTGAAGTTATTCTTATGTAAACAATATATTGTACATGCCATATGCCATAAAGGCTTGGCACAACCAGTTAATTTCCGCATCTATTTGTTGTCTGCTGGCAACCAAATTCCAACGCCGTTTATATCATAAAAAGAATAATTTCACCTCCACTACTAACTTCCGATCCATTTCTATTTCTCCATCATGTGCCATATATTATATATATCACCTGCGATTCAATTAAAATTTCCAATGGACGAGCATATATATATTTGAAGGTTTTGTATTAGGCAGCCTTCACCAAATTTTAACCTTGCGCTTAGCACAAGAAACTCGTGGATAAAATGGAAGAGTTGAAACTCAAAATTTGCACACCTAAATAAATAAAACTTCAAATTTTCAAATTTGATGACGGTGGGCTTCCACCTCAACGTTTTAGAGCAACTCCAGCAGGAGCACCCAAATCAGGGATTCTACTTTTTATTTGGGTGCTCTCCCCTGTAGGGTCGAGATGACGACTAGAGGGTGGGTGAATAGTCGTTTTTAAAACTTAATCGCGTCGGCTAACCGAAACAAGTGCAGAATTAAACTAACGGTCTAGCCAAGACTACATCCCTCTATCTATATTCTCTAGCACCTTGCAAAAATCCTAATTAAGCAACAAAGGTGCCGGGCTAACTAGAGCTCACCTAACCAATTCTAGAAGTAATGTCACACAAACCTATGCCACTAGTCACTTCAAGCAACAAGGAAGCTCCTACACATGCTAGTAAGCAAAAGCACAAAGCCACCTAATGCTCACTAACAATGCTCAATAACAAGGCAACCAATGCCAAATTAGAGAGCGCAAATACTTAGCTACACAAACTAAGCAATGTGACTAACAAGGTTACACAAACCAAATTAGCCACGTAAGGGAGATACTTCTATGCTACACAAGCAAGAAGGCAACTAGTGAGCTACATAAGCTAACTAATTACAAGAGCAACTACACAAGCACAATGTATATAAAAGTAATCACAGGCTTGTGTAAAGGGATTGCAAACCAACGAGAAGAAAAAGATTGGCACGGTGATTTTCTTCCGAGGTTCACGTGCTTGCCAACACGCTACGTCCCTGTTGTGTCGACCGCTCACTTGGTGGTTCGGCGGCTAATTGGCATCACCCACCAAGCCCGTACGTCGGGCACCGCAAGAACCTACCCCGAAAGTGAGAGTAGCTCAATAACACGCTCAACTAGAGTTCCTCTTCGCGGCTTCCGCGGGACGAGCACAATGCCCCTCACAAAGCTCTTCTCCGGAGCACCGCACAAGCTTCTTGCGGGCTTCGACGGAGACCACCACCAAGCCATCTAGGAGGTGGCAACCTCCAAGAGTAACAAGCACCACCGGCTTGCAACTCAATCACTTAGTGCCACTCGATGCAACCTCACGATGCAATCGCACTAGAATCGCTCTCTCACACAATCGGATGATCAATATCAAGCATATATGAGATGGAAGGCTCCCAAGCACTCTCAAGCATGGACACAAAGTCCCCCGAGGTGCTCAGCACCTGCCATGGCCGAGACAACCTTCTATTTATAGCCCCACGGGCTAAACTAGCCGTTACCCCTTCACTGGACAAAACTCGGGACGACCGGACGCTCCGGTCAGATCAACCGGACGCAGGACCCCAGCGTCCGGTCGTGTGATGCACGCCACGTGTCCCCTCTCTTCAAATACTGAGCGCCTGATCCCAACGGTCAAGTGATGACCGGACGTAGCTGCTCAAAGTGATCGGACGCAGCAACCCCAGCGTCCGATTGTTTCCAGTAAGGTACCAGTCACGGCCGGACGCGTCCGGTCGATCACGATCGGATGCAGCATCAGCGTCCGGTCCTTCTCCACCTTCTCTACATCGTCTACGTCACCGTACGTCAGCCTGACCAGACGCACCCTGCCAGCGTCCGGTCATTTTTAGCGCCAGCGTCCGGTCGAAGACCGACGCCTGCACACTCTTTGCCACTGACCGGACATAGGACCTAAGCGTCTGGTCACTGCGTGACTAGCGTCCGGTGCACTATGTGAAACCCTATCTTTTCTGTATAGGGCGCCGGTGGCACCATCGGACTGTCCGCACTCTACGGGCGGACACTCCGCCGGTGGAGTTTCGAACCTTTCCCGCCTCCGTTCCATCGCCGAGTTGATCCACATCAACTCTAACTTCATCTCCTTTGAAAATATGCCAACACCACCATGTGTATGTGTGTTAATATTTTCACAATTATTTTCTAAAGGATTAGCCACTCAACTTACCATGCCACTCAATCCTAGTGACGATGTAAAGTTAGATCACTCGAGTGGCACTAGATGACCGATATGCAAATAAGTTTGCCCCTCTTGATAGTACTACCATCTATCCTAAACCCGGTCATCAACTTCTCTACACACCTATGACCGGTGAAATGAAATGCCCTAGGTTATACCTTTGCCTTGCGCATTTCATTCCATCTCCTCCAATGTCGATGCAACACATGCACCAACATGATCAATAATGATATGATCCACTTCATATCATCATGTGATCATATTGGTTCATCGATCTTGACTTCACTTGCTTTTCACTGTTGCCTTCGTTCATCGGCGCCAAGTCTTGCTTAAACTTCACTGCCACGTGGTCCATCGCTCCAAAGCCTCCGACTTACCCTTCACACTTGCAACCGGTCCATCAAACCAAGTCTTGTCTTGATCTTCTCCACCTTGATCACATGACTCAATGTCATGTCTCATGTGCCATAAGCTCCTTCATCATCATATGTGTGAGCTTTGGAACATCTCTAAACCATTTTCACCTTCATGGCATATGTTGCTCACACATGTACTTGTGGACTAATCACCTATGTATCTCACATAAACACAATTAG